TGGAAGCGAAGGACTGGCCGGCTGTCCCAGGGGATGCCCAGGTGTGTTCACACAATGCTTTCTGCTCTTTGGAGGGGTTCTTTCTATGTCCCCCCTCCCTCATTACGCTGATGAAGGGAGTGGAGAACCTTCATGCACCTAAATGATATTCAGACTCAGAGGAGCATCGTGAGTGTTATGCTCATGCGCCTTTTAAAAATGTAGTCCTGCTGTTGTTTTTTCCTCAGGATTTGTTATCTAAATGGGTAACGCTGTGCTTTTGTGACCTCTCTTTTCCTCCCCCGCTCCATCGACTCTACAAGGGTATCTCTCCAATGTCAGTTTTGTCAGGACATGAGCGCAACGTGTACAACTGAAACCACTCAGGAGTCTCAGTCCAGTCAAGACGTCTGTGTTTCGACTGTCTCGGAAGTCACCATGAGTAAGTGGGCTGATGCGTCTCTCCTACAGACGGACATTTCTGTCAACCACAAAACGCTGGGGGTGTAAAGAGCCACCCTTTGACTTGACATGTGGGCTAAAGCTTCTATATTGCTTCGGCTGTTCTATCTATTTCTTGAGATAAAACTCCACCTCTTGCCTATTAAGTCAGTCAGAGCCACTACAGTGCAGCACACACAGAGTCAGACATTGGAGCTCTGCAGAACTGGGTTCAAATTGTTGTTGTGGGTTTTTCAGGCTCTTTGGCCATTGTTCTTCCTAATGTTTTGCCAGTCTCTGGATTCAAATCCCTGTGCAGTCCCAGAAACTCACAGGGGGGCTGGCAATTTCAAATCATTCCTTCCACATCTGACGTGCCTCAAAGATCCCGCTAGCTCTTCTATATGTTGGAAGTGACCTGACAGCAGAGAACACTAGATTATGTCATTAGCACTCGAATTATTGTGGTTTATCTGGTCAGTTTTTATTGGACTACCTTGGGAGCTATAAAAAGTCTGCCAATCTATGTTAGAAGATAACAGGTTTCCTCATCAGCCATCATGTTACAAAAAGCAGGTGGGGAGAATATTGTTGTTGCTAAAGCCATGTAGTTTGCATGCTGTTTTTGAATTGTAATGATAAGAAAGAGAACCGAAATGATAAGGAAATAATTAAGAGCAGCAAACTTGCCCAGATTTTTATGCCTTTGAAATAATAATCATGTTCCAATTCTGACTTATGGCAACCTTTTTCAGGATTTTCTAGGTAGAGAATACTCAGAAGTGTCTCACCCTTCCCTTCTTCTGGGGGTGCCCTGGGACTGTGCAACTTGCCCAAGGCTACCTAGGCTGGCTCTTCTCCCAGGAGGCCCAGTGAGAAAACTCTCAAACTCTGGCTCTGCAAGCGAGCAGAAGTTTGACACAATAATAGCACCTTCTCTTAAAAGAAGCTTCTTCAGATCCCTAGGACAGCAAAACTGGTCTGACTGCCCCTCCATCACTAGTCATTTCTGTCCCATTCTTTCCCTTCACAGACGGCTTGAGGGTGTCCTTGTCTTTCAAATCATGCCTTGACCATGAGTTTTGCCAGGCAGGCTTTTATACTGCCAGTGTGGAAGAAGATGGTCCCATTCGGACCCAGATCACCTGCTGCCAGGAGGACCAGTGTAACAGCGGGGCTCTTCAGTGTAAGCATCCCTAGGCAATGATACAACCCAATGATACAATATCATTCCCTGGGTCATGTTTAAGGAGCAAAGGGACTACAGGAAGAAGACCTCAGTCAAGAAAATATTTTAAGTCTTGGAGGAAATGAGGTCTTTAATGTTCAGGGGGGAAAATTGACTGAGAAAATATTTGTCCCAACCAGATCTAACTGCAATGACCGTTTTTTTCCCCACCAGTACCTGATCCAAAAAAGCTGGTTTCCAATGGGTTTTAATGCCCCGGCTGCTTTTCCACCCATTCGGATCACTGTGACAGTAAAGGAATGGACAGCTGCACACAGAAAGAAGACCACTGCTTCAACCTGGCTGGTTCCATCAAAAGAAGTAAGTCTTGTGAGATGATAGAGAGCAGGAGTCTCCCTTTCTTTGTGCTCTCTGTCCAAAGATGTTTCGAGTGGTGTTCGCTCCTTGCACTCAAGTACCACATACAGAGAGTTTTGGCACTCCAGATGTGTTACACTACAACTTCTAGCATCCTGGTCTGTACTGCCAGTGGCAAGGGACTATGGGAGTTGTAGTCCAAAAAAATCTGAAGTGCCAGTGATTCACCATGCCTGGTCTACTACCATCTTTCCCAGCAGAAAACTGAACCTGCTATGTTTGTAGGCGAGACTAAGACTTTGCTATTAAATGAATGAATAGTCTACGTATTTCCAATAGCATGAATTTTAATGGTGCATCTAAGATAGCTGTTTTTTTTTAAAAAAAAATAAATTGTTTCTCAAAGAATATCTTCTCTCCTAACAGGCATTTTGAATGGAAGGAGTGCTTTCCAAGGTTGTACGACAGCCAAGGCATGCAGCTTCAAAAAGGAAGCAGTAAAGGCAGCAAATCAAGTTTTTGGAGTCTACATTTCCCAGGTAGACTGCAAACCGGCAGAAAAATTTACCCCCCCCCGCCCCGAGCATCGTAGAATGAAGAAAATGAAGACATCCAGAATGAAGAACATAGTCTAGTGCTTAAGACCAGACAGATTTCGATAAGAGGACTCGTTGCTCTTGGTGGCTGCAATGAGCCACTATGACTAGCATTGCCAACTTTTTCAGCAGCCTCCACTCCTGTGTTTTCTCCAGTGGTCATGCTGGCTGGGGAGGATGTGATTTGTTGTCATATGTGCCTGTAGGGGACCCAGGTAAAGGGAGCCAACTGCAGCATCTCTGGACTTAAACTGTGAGCCCTTCCTGGATCGTTCCACCTCCTCTGCAGAACAGGCAAGCAAGGATAGAGAGCTTTGGATTCTCTGCCACTTTATTGTAGAAAATCAGTGGAAGAGACTGAAAGGTCCTTCCTGCCAAGAAAACGATGAAGGCTTGCCATGGGTGTTGATGGCACTTCGAAATGTCAGCGAACTGCTTGGCCCCAAAAGCTTGGAAAGAGGATCCCGTAGAATAGAAGACAAAGCAGGATCTCAGGAGAAGCCCCAGAAGCCCCTGGGGTCGAGGTGACAAGAAATACACCTCTGCCATTCCCAGTAAGAGTGGAACAAGAGGTCCAGGCTTCACACAAGCCTCTCAGTGCAGCCACAGAAATGTTTGAAGCGTGCAATCCTTTTCAACCCGGCTGGATAGATCTGTAGATCTATAAGGGTCCTAGCCAGGATTCCAGAGAAGGGAGAGGCTATAGAAGAATCTTAGAACTGCATAGCTGGAAGGGACTCTATGGATCATCGGGTCCAGCCTCGGTCAACAAATGCCATCGGGAGGATTTGAACTCACAACCTCTGAGGGCTCCACAGCCAGAGACCTCAACCACTGAACTCTCCACCCATTACTTCTGTCAATAAAGCAATGCTTTGACAATTTTCTCCTTCTCCAATTCTCTTCTCCCATCTTGTTCTGCCAGCAATTTCATTGATGAAAGAATAATTAATAAACATGGGTACATTTTTTTAAAAATTATCTGGCCATCTTGCCTCATCCTTTCTCTCTCCCCTCCCAATTTCACACCCACTGTGCCAGCCAAAAACCAGAGGTGGTCTGTTGTCTTTCATTATTGCAAGCCATCTTGCGTACTTTTGAAGGAGAAAAGGGAGGTAAAATATTTTAAATTAAAACCTTGCTTTATTAGGTTTTAGAGGTGTTATACAGATTTGATTCAACCATGAATTTTGATTCTAAAAGCCATCAGTCCATGACTGCAATGGTTTCTGGGTGATGCTAATGTGATGGAGGAGAGCTGTAGATTCTGGTGATATTAGACTTTTAAATACTTATACTTTTACCCCTGTGTTCTCCACAGCTTTTCTCTCCAAGGTCTTCCAAATTGACCCATGTTTTCTTCTTTCCCTTCTTAAAAACACTACCCGTTTTCTTACTTGGCCTTAAATCAGCTATGGTGGCACCCATACTTCACCACGATTGGCCCTCTGCCTCTCCCAGTTCGGTCCATTCCCTGTCTCCCACAGGAAGGATGGTGTGGAAAATACTGACAACATCAGCACAGAAAAAGATTCTTAAAGGGGAAAAAGTCTGGGAGATCCTACGGTGGAAGATGGCTGTCCCTTCCCTGATTCGAGCATCGGCTCAAAGATCTGAACAGCAGAGAGAGATCTTCCAAGAAGGGAAGGTGGAACAGATGCTCATTGTAGGAAGTCGAGACCAGATCTGCAAGAGCGAAATGAGAAGGAAGACAACCACCACAGTCAATAGAAAGCAAACAGGCAAAAGGGATGAAATAGAACACAATCACGAACAGAAGGCAAAGCAAAGGAGCCCCGCCAGGAGTGGCAAGACCAGGCTGTATTGGGTAGAGATTCCAAGCGCATGGCTGCATGTGTTGACCTTGATGTCCACATTGCGGCCAGCAGCAAACAGCGCTCCCGCTCCCATGTCGCACATGTTCCTGGTGGCGCATCCTGTAAAGGCGACTTGTTCGTCCTTGAATTCGTCTGTGGGATGAAAGTGTAGAAAACAGTTAGCTGCTATGGATAAATGGAGAAAGCTTCCCACTTACACTCCTTTACACAAACCAGGGCAGATCCAGAATCCTGTGGGTGATTTGCATAAGGGAAACCACAGAATTTGCAGCAGCAAATTGACACTCACTCCATAGGAACTGGTTGCATTCCCGGGCACACATATTCAATCATGCAAGCAGGTGTGGCCAGAAATGTAACCAGCACCCCCTTTCACTTATGCAGGCATAAATCACCAATAGGATTCTGTTTATCATGTTTCCCTAGAAGTGCTTGCAGGTTGGCACATCCCTTTTGAGAAATCTGAAATCTGGAACTGAAACAGGATACTTTGGTTGGCTGAATCAGGTGATCCTGGGCTAATCTTAGCAGCAGAACTCTCCCTTTATCTAATGTCAAATAGAAACTCAGCCTAGGACTACAATTCCCAGAACCCCCTGCTCTGGATGGCCATGGTCCACAACGGCAGGAGGGTTCTGTACTTGTAGACTAAAACTACACTTCTCTGTCATTTGTTGGAAATAATGTTGGATGGAGTCTTTCTGTCTTCCTCGTCCACCAGCTGTACCAACAGGAGTCAAGGGCCCTGCAAGGGAAGCGTGCCTCAAAATCCACGGCACGGATCATGCCTAGCCTATAAGCCCACCTACCTGTACTTGCAATGGTGGCAAAGTGGATGCAGTTGGTCAGGAGGCCAGTACACGCCACTGTAGTGTGATTCAGACAAAAATGTGCGCCACGGGCAAAGCACGAATTGCAACGAACCCCGTTGGGAATCTGAGGTGCTGTTTGTACTGTGGAGAGAAAAGTGAGAGGAGAGGAACTGACTCTTGGCAAAAATGCAGTGATTTTACACACCGTGGAGCCTGAGCGAGGTGTATCCACATGTTCTTTCCTAAAGAAAGGCATAGATGGATCATAAAAATGCGAGGTCTGTTTATGGAAATGTCTGCCCTTGTAGACATTACAATAAATATTTTGTCTATTTATGGAAATGTCTACCCCTGTAGACATTACAATAAATATTTCACCAAGCCAGTAAAGCTGCATTTTGTCAGGTAATGCAAAAACAAGTAGCTGGGTTCTGATCAGTTAGAATATGTCTCCTCCATATGTTTCTGGAGACATATGTTTCCATATATTTCTGAATCCTGGCACCCATTCCAAACCATCCAGCTTTTTCAATCATCAAGGATAATGAGTGTTTTATTCCACCAGCAGTAGGAGGTCCTGAGTTTCCACAGTGTAGAACAGTGGTTCCCAACCTTGGGTCCCCAGATGTTTTTGGACTAAAACTCCCACAAATCCTGGCCACCACTGCTTGTGGTGAAGGCTTCTGTGAGTTTTAGTCCAAGAACATCTGGAGACCTGAGGTTGAGAACCACTGCAGTAGAAGGACTCTGAGTTTACTGGTCCCCTACTGTAAGGTATGTCTAGCACAACGATTAAGTAAACCACATGACAAAGCCCAGCACAGCTTGTTGTACAGAAAGGAACTCGACTTCTATACCAATGACTTCCTGGGTGTTGCAGCGATCCGCTCGACAGCAGCTGGAGTTCCAGAGCATCCGGAAATCCCCCGCCACCAGCCCATAAAACTGGTTGCAAAGGCGGTCATCGGAGTTGCATTTTTTCTCGTAAGTTGGGTGTTGTATGTTCAGGCCACCTAAAAATGGAGGGAAAAAAATCTGTGAGAAGATCCACTCACCAGAGGTAGACACCTGGTGTCCTGTTCCTCAAACATTTTGGAATACAACTCTCATCAGACCCAGACATCAGGATGAAGGGTACAAGACTATGGCAGCTGTAGTACAAAGCATTGACCATTGTGGTTCACATACAATCGATGTGATGATTGGATGTTGGAGAGGAATGGACACTTATGACATTGATCATAGCTCCGTGGTAAAGCATGTGCTTTACATGGCAAAGATCTCAGATTTATTTAATTAATTAATTAAGTAATTTAAAAAGTTTTTACCCCACCTTTTCCCTCAAAAAGGTCCTAAGGTGGCTTACATCATTAAAAGAGAATAGTCTCCTTGAGTCCTTTTAAAGGAGATGGGTGGGATCAAAATATTTTAAACAAACAAACAAACAAACAAACAAATAAAGCTAACAACGGTGAATATACAAATATAAAAAGGACCAAACAGATGACATACTTAAAAATAAACAACAGCCCATAAGCAACGCCGAAACACATTCAAAGCAGTAAGATACAACGATCCATTTGAAACTCCTCTCAAGCAAGCCAGTCACTGCCAGAAAGCTTGCCTGAGGAGAACCCCTTGACATTTCCTGCTAATGGATTTCAAGGGATGAAATTGAGAAGGACTCCCAGCTTCTGGGATCACAACTGTGGCATATCACCTCCAAGGGGCATTGCTACAGAGGAATTCCCTAGCATGCGTCCCAAAGGTGGGGCCTGATGCCAGTTGTGCTGGTTCTGGGACTCTATGCCTGGCTTTATGGTGGGAGGTCTCCAAGGTCCTGAACCGCACCCCTTCAATAGGTTCAGCACCAGTAGAACTATATTAAAACTTGGAATTAGAAATGGGCACGAACCGGTTCGTCCCAGTCCATCAAGACATCAGAACAGGTGTTGCTGCTCTTCTCCATTGCCTCCTCTGGCTCAGCCAGCCACTCACCAGGCCCCTCCGTTGCCTCCTCTGGCTCAGCCAGGCACTCACCAGGCTCAGCGTTGAAATGAAAACATTGTGTTGCAGTTTTCTACTCATCAACAGAACGAAAGCGACAGGGAGAGGTATTCAAGCCTGAGATGGCCTGAAGCTCTTCAAAGCCTGCCCCAGAAGGAGTTGTGTCTCGAAACGACTTTACCTGTAGTCTCATTCTGAGCAATGGTGATGCAGCTGTTGACGGAGGCGGTGCATTTTTGTTGGGACGTGCTACAGTTGTAACCTTCTGTGCTGGTGCAGTTGAAGCAGGAGATGGCGTCACCTGCAGATTCATGTAGGAAGTGTAAGAGGTAAAAGGCATGAAGCAGAACCAAAGTCGTGTAGTAGCGGATAGGGAGGTAGACTAGGACTTCTGAGTCCTGGGTTCAAATCCCTACTCAGCCATGGAATCTCACGGAGGGCTGGCAATGGTAAATCATTCCTTCAACATCTCAAATGCTTCAATGGGTATCCTGATGCAGGGAAAATGCATTCCTATGGGAAACCTCGCAAGACAAATGAATTATTTTTGTCTTGCAAGGCATCGGTCTTGTGGGGGGAAATCGTCTTGCGAAGCACGGGCATAGAAGAAGCCATCTTGCGAGTCACCAACACGATAGCAAAATGCTGTCATCTTGCAGGTTTTTCGTTCATCTTGCGAGGTTCGTCTTGCAAGGCACCACTGTACCTATATACACATATGTTTTCCTCACTGGAGAGGGACCTACCTCCAAAGCGTCATGATCTTCTCTGGCCTTGTTTCCTGTTCTTAATGCGAAAGCAGGGAGCTGCCATGGTGCTCCCTGGGAATCAGAGTCTTGCTGCCCTGTAAGCTCTGTACATGGCAACTCCTGAAGAACTACAATTCCCATGAAGTACTATGGCATTATTTTTACACTAATAACAGGAGGCAATGCCAAGACTAGGATCTTCTCCAGATGAGCAAAATGTATGTCTCTTTAGACATCATTTGCAGGATGAAACTCCCAGAATTCTGCCTGGGGTAGCCTTAGAGGATTCAGGGAGTTGGAGTCCACACTTACAGTCTGCAGTCCACAGCCTATGGCCTCTAATGAGCCGAGAGACTCTTGTATGGTGACCTAATTTTCTTCCTGGTTTTTGAGGGACAAATCGCGAGAGGTCATGTTGCAAAACTACTAAAATGATCTTTCAGTGCATGTATTGACCTCATTTTTCGGCATTTGTCTGTCTTGTTCTATTTCCTTCTACTGTATTTCCTTTTCAGATTGGGGCTTTATATTTTAGTACCACTAACTGGGGTACAGAAGTACAGTGGTGCCTCGCTTAATGACATTAATTCCTTCCAGCGAAATCACTGTAGAGCGAAAACGTCATAAAGCGAAATAAAAAAGCTCATTGAAATGCATTGAAAACCCCTCAATGCATTCCAATGGGCTGAAAACTCACAGTCCAGTGAAGATCCTCCATAGGGGTGGCCATTTTTGCTGCCTGTAAAGCGAGGAATCCATCCAAAAATACAGCGGGGAGCCATTTTAAGCAGCCGGTGGCCATTTTGAAACCTGACAATCAGCTGTTTTTGTTCGTCGTAAAGCGAACATTGGTTCCCGAAGCAGGGAACCGGTCATCGTTAAACAAAAAAAACATATTTAAAACATTTTGCGATCGCAAAAACCTAATCGTCAAACAATTTTGTCATAGAGCAGGCCAATCGTTAAGCGAGGCAGCACTGTACTAGGAGAGACATCATTCTGGGCTGTATTTGTTCTTATAACAATCTGATGCACAGAAATTGAATGCACATAAATTTTATATAAGGAAAAGCCAATATTGTTATCCACCAATAAGAGTAGTCTGAACTACCATCTGAGGAAGTGGATTTTATCCCCAGACACTCATATGAAAATATAACAGTTAGTCTTTAAGATGCCATGACATTTTTGCCCTTTTTAATAATTAGTTCTTTTATTTTTTAAAAAAATTTTTTGCCTGTCCTGCTTGTACAAACTAACACGACTACTTCTTCTAAAACTCCAACATGAAAAGTTTCATTACGCAGAGACTTTGGCCGGGAGGGGAAAATTTTGATTCAGTGGAAAAGTCCACGAAGCTACAGGCTGAAATGTGACAGCCTGCAGCCTGCATAGATATAAATCTTGTCACTTTCATCTTTTTAAGACCTGTTCCTGATTCAGAGAAGCAAAAAGAAAAAGAAAAAAGAGTCTGTTTCCTTTTCACCAATAAAATGGGCGTGGTGGGTTGTGTCTCTTCTACACAATAGGAAGTTAACCTAAGAAGACACATCTCCCTATGTTGGTCAAGACAGTAAGTAGCCCCTGCACTGAAGTTTTGAATAGCTTAATGTTGTACTAAAAGAGAAGTGAACAAAAGCACTAAAATAAATAAATAATTGTTTAAAGAAACCACTGGGGGTCAGGTCTTGTTTCGCTTTCCCTTATATTCCATTCCTATGTCTGTGATTTTATACTTCAGGCTCACCCTGCCCTCCTTGATACTTCTTAGATGTTTCAAATGTCAGCTCTTATCAACCTCATGGTCAAAGATCAAGAATGGTGGGAGGCGTGACCCTGAGTGTTCGGAGCAGTGGTTCCTAAACAACGGGGTCCCCCAGATGTTCTTGGGCTACAACTCCGAGAAATCCTGGCCAGCACAGCTAAGTGGTGAAGGGTTCTAGGAGTTCCAATTCAAGAACATCTGGAGATCCAAGACTGGGGCAATTCAAAAACATCTGGAGACCCAAGACTGGGAACCACTGATTTAGAGGGTCCTGGGTTGCTTGAAGGCCACTTTAAGGTATGTTCACACATCCTACCACTAATAGGAATTAGTAAAGCAGGCACAAAATTGCTTAAGGCAGCATTAGGACAGCAATATATGTTCATTCTTATCCTACCTTTGTGCCGTTTCTGGCAGTCTATATGAAAAAAATTGACTGTTAATTTGGAAGGATGTATCAGAGACTTTGCACCAATTTTTGGCTATACAGTGGTGCCTCGTTTAACGAGTGCCTCGCTCAATGATGAATTCACATAACGATGGCCTTTGCTGGAAATTTTGCCGCCTCACCGAACAATGTTTCCTATGGGGGATTTTCGCATGACGATGTTTGGGACCTTGCTTCACAATGATGACAGTTTTAGGTCCCCTCTTTCGCTTAACGTTTTTTTTTGACAGCCCTGTTTTCACTATTTTAAAAATATTCTAAAATGTTTAAAAAATGTTTAAAATGCTTGGAATCGTTAGTGCACCTAATAAAACCTTCGTTAAAGAAATTTGGCTTCATTCTGAGTCTTTTTGAATTTTTGATGATCTTTTTTTCACCATTGAAATGTATTGAATAGGCTCCTATTGGAACGGATTAACCAGTTTTCAATGCATTCCTATGGGAAATGGTGTTTCGCTTAACGATGTTTTCACATAACGATGTTTTTAATGGACCCAATTAATATCGTTATGCGAGGCACCACTGTATATTATTTATTTCGTCTCCAAACTGCAAAGAGGAACAGATTATCATTATATACAATAATCCATGGGGAGAATTTTGCCCTCAGTGGCATTTCTACATCTGTTCTAGTCAATATCTAAGCGAAGAGCATGCTGACCGTTCCTGCTTCCCATGCCCTCAAGCAGTTGTTCATTTATAGATATGATCAGCTAAGACATTGTTATCTCTTTCCCCTGAGAACATTCACGTCCTCATTTCTGTACATCCAAGCTTTAGTTAAACATACAGAACATGCCATACTAACAGATGGGGAGGGAGGGGTGAGTATCTGGTCCATTGCCAAATGAAAGATTCTCTTAAAAATTCCACCCTTTAAAAAAAATTGTTGCTTTTGTTATTGTCATTTTCTGAGTTCAAACGTAATGAGCTGCTGATCTTTGTCAAGGTACACTTATTAATTTATACCACTGCAGAAGATGTAACACCTTCAAAAATGCATTTTATGCTAATTATCTCAATTTTTATTACAACCTTGCAAAACAAGTGAGGCTTCACCGCCTGGAGCACGGGTCAAGTGGAGGAGATGTTCAGAAATATGTTAAATAAATCATAATGGATAAATCTAGATTATTTTATCTATGCTGCAGAGAAAGAAGAGGTCGGGGGAAAAGCTTCCGTGGAGATACACGGCAGAAAACAGATAAAACGCTTCCTTAATAACAATGTATGCTACGTTTTAGGATGCAACTGAAATTCAAAGGTTTAAGAAT